GATCTTTATTTCCATGCCGAGTGAAAACGATGTGTCGATTCGTTGAAAGAAAAATCTATAATGTACGTTTATGCGTTTCTGCAAAAGATCCATTTTTTTTTTTTGGCCGCATGTATAACGAAGAGCCAGCGACGAAGCCCTTGTGCCATTTTAATTCGCGGAAATGATAAACGCGCGCGCGAAAAAATATTTCCCTTAATGGAGAGTCGAGTTATAAACCACTTCTCTCGGCAGTGCAGGGAGCATGTATTCTCATGCGTATACGGGAAGTTCTGAAGACTCAACGCTCAGACTGAATCGTCTATAAAGTGACTAATGACAAACTGGCAAACAAGCTCCGTTTCGCGATCTTAGCATTAGTACGGATTAAATTACACTGTGCTGCATTTCCGCTTGCGCTGCGCTTCTCCAGACAGAGACAGAGAGAGAGAGAGAGAAAGAGAGACGACTTTTACAAATTTACAAAATCGACCATCATTTTTCACTTTGTCCTCCGATCGCCGGCAGATTAGGTACAAATAATGTCCTGTGAAAGTGATCGAACGAGAAAGCATTCTTGAGCAAATCGATTTGTCGATTTCGATATCGTCGTGTGCTGCTCGAAAGACAGTATCTCCGAGATAGAAACCAGAAATACCCGAAATTCTATCCGCATGTCCAACTAATGACATCACCAAACGCACGTCGAGCTAAAGATAGACTCAGGCCGTGGTGTTTCCCTCCCCCCCCCCTCTCCCCTCTCATTTTTTTCCTTTCCTTTTCCTCCTCTTTTTCTTTTCTTCGCGAATGCCAGCCGAACGGCACGAGTGGAATAATTCGCGCAGAAGAAATTATTGCGCCAGACGGCGTTTCGGAACGACGTTCCCGTCGCCGCTCTCGCGCCTGCGATCTTTCCTCAATCCAAGCGTTAGCATTGTTCGCACGAAGATAGATAATCCGCTGATTTAATGTCAGCCGTTTAAGGGAGGTGTCAATGGAATCTTAAGCAGATTTGCCAAGACCCTAATACGCGGCGCGATGCGACGCGGTGTGCGAAATAACGCCCGTGTCGTTACGCCGTTTGCTGATTACGTAGCCGACAGGTTGTTTCTTTTTTTTTGCTCGCGTAAGAATAAAAAGCTCGTTTGACTCGAGTGATACACGTTCGTTCCTTAGCAAGTGCGCGATTGGTTACCTACGGAGCTCCGTTACAGCTGCGCTAGTCTCAGGAGCGCGCGACACCGCGAAAACTTGTTTATCTTAATTACTTGTCTGTGCGTACTGCGAATTGTAATTAACGCTGGGATAGTTTAATTGATTGCAAGGGATAAGAGGGCTGGGAGACATTATTTTGGAGACTCGCGTGAAAATGATATTTTACGTACGAAATACGAAATTCTCGCGTCTCTGGATTAACTCATCAGGTTAATCAACTAATCTATCGGAGAATACTTTGCCAAGTTGTATCTTTTATATTAAATATTGTAGTGAGATATCTCCGCTATAGCGAAATATTTTAGTGAATAAATTTTTCGAATAGATAAAAATAAATATCTTCTTAAATGAAAATTCAGATTGTAAGTCAATAGCGAGAAAACACAATAAAAATTCGTACAAATTGTATTTGAATAGAAATACTTTTCAATAAAACAACATTTTTGCAATTGATAGAATAGATTTATAAAATATAACATAAACTGTTTTCTCTTTTTGAGGCGAAATTAAATCACATTTATTTCTATATATTATTCGTTTGTCATAGCTGTTTTTTTAGCTCGTTTTGTTTTTGGTTAAGCTGTAATTAATTTCCAGATATATGGTTATTTATTAATTAATAAAAACAA